CTGTCTGTCAATCCGATTGGTCTGGTCCTGATGAACACGACGAAGCGCCATGCGCCATCATGCGCCTTTTTATCAGAGGGGGGGGTTCATGACAGGGCATAATTTGAGAAGCGCTTCACAAAAAATGACAACGGCTTAAGAACTCCAGAACTTCCCTCTTAGGACATCCGATTTTTTTGCTACCATGCGCCTACAACAAAAATATCAGATATGATCAGATCCTACAAAGGCGAACTGGACAGGAGTTGGTTAGTTTGCTGTTTTCTGGCAAAATCCACCCAGTCTTTGACTCTGACGGATGGACGAACGGACTGACTGACTGACAGACTCTTGGCCACGGAGAAATGTGTTGTTCAAAAAGCAGCTGGACCATCCGAAAATAGCTCCACACATGTCAGCACTATTGTCGTGATGTGAAAGGAGGAAGAGTGATGTGAGGCTCCTCTAGATTGATCAACGCCAGGACTTGCGACTCTGCTATACTCTGGTAGGACTTTCCCTCTGTCATGAACCGCTCCGGACCTCTGGCCCGAAGCTTCAGATGGCAGCCTTCCCAGAACATCACATGATTTCGCTTGCGAAGACATGATAGAAGGACTACACACCGCAAGTCATTAACATCTCTAAACCCAGCAAACCTGTAAACCCGCGTAAACCCATAAACACTCATAAACCCGCGTAAACCCATAAACCCGTGTCATCCAATTCAGACACATTTCCCGCTGCACTGGTTAGGCTGCCTTTGGAGGCAGGACCTGGTGGCAGTGTCCTGGTGGAGGGGGAATCCTCAGCTACTTCGTTTGGAGCAAGCGGAATTTCCGTGGGTGGAGTGCACGTGCAGCTATCGGGGGCGTGCTGGGCCCTGGGTGGGGACAAGGTCCCAGCGACCAGGGCTGACTGCCCTGGCTGCACGTAACAGCCAAAAGTCGGGAGAGCCGTCGGAGAACCTTTGGGATTTGGGAGAAAAGAGACACAAGCAGCATGGTGCGCAAGGACACAAGCGCACCACGCATCTTCAGCCGCGGCCCGCTTGTCGTCCCTGCATTGAGCCTCAGCGCTACAAGCAGCCTTCATCTTCTCGGCCGCCACCTGCTGTGCCTTCTGGCATGCTTCCTCGTTCTTCTGCGACTCTTGCGCTGCCAAATGCTCCCGGACAAAGGTCCACATGCAACTAGAGCTTGCTGGATTCGCTGTGTTGTACACCACATTGTCGAACTGGCCTGCAAGAAACGGCTCTTGCAGCTCTTCAAAGGTCAGGCCCCAAGTCTCCTTGAGTGGCCGCATGCCTTCTACCTATTTCGTTGCGATGCACTTGAGCTTCATCCGAGACTCAACCTGAGAGACAAGTTGCCGTGCACCGAGAGGACATGTGAGGTGAGGTGAGCATGCTCACACCCAATCAGGGCAATGGTCGAGAAGCACCTATCACAGTCTTACGTTTCGGTACTTCAGTGCTGGGTCTGCGGCGTTAATCCCTGGCAGCCTTTGCAAATTCCACATGTCTTCTTTGGATTCCAAACTCAGTTTCTCGGTCGAGCTGAGGTCTTCCAGCCTGGCCAACCTCAATTCGCCGAATGATGGAACCATCTGCCACCAAAACAGTGTCACCATGCCAAAAAATGCAGACAGTTGACCAAACATTCCCCCAATTGCCTACAAGTCAAAGAGCCATCGAGCAATCATGACTTCGAATTCGTCCGCGCTCTTGACCAAATCCGGTTCTCGATTTCTCTCAGGGCCCCTGCAACAAGAACTTCCTCGGCGAGACCGCAACGCTCTTGTGAGTTCGGAAGCGTGAAATTCACTTAATAAACACAAATGCGGGGACTAGGAAACAGCTTCGCTAATCCTTGCAGGGCGCGATCCACGCAGCCAAGTGATCAGGATTGGAGTGACAACCACATTATGTCTCCGCATCCATGACTCGATTTGCACAAAGACACTGCGTGGAACACGGCTACAGACCTTCGCAAGAACTGACCAATCTACCACTTTGGCCACCAGTTCTCTGTAGTGATCTCGGACACGGGCCTGCAACAGGGCAGGGTCTTCTCCAAAGAGTGCCGAGACGGAAAGAGCCAAGTCAAGCCAGGACCAATCAATGGACTGTTACAATATGACAGTAGCAGTTGACGTGTTGGGGAGACCGTCCTCAGTCGGACAGACACCAACCCCTCCCTGTGCCAGACGGGGGGCCGGGAAGTAGGGCATCCCGGCGGCTTGAAATCAATCGAAACTCTACTCAGGCTGCGCGACGAAGACGATATGACCAAAGCAGTTGACGTGTTGGGGAGACCGTCCCCAGACGGGGGGCCGGGAAGTAGGGCATCCTTGGAAATTCCGCTTGACTTACTGGACCTGACCGGACTGGAGTGGAGTTGAGTTGAGTGGACTGGACTGGATCCTTTGGGGGCCAGTCTTCATTAGCCACCATTTGGGGTCCAACCTTCTATGGGGTCCAACCTTCAAGTGTGTTAACCGTAGAAGTTTTTTTGAAGGTCCCACTGCCTGTGGCAGTGTATTCCTTCAAATAGTTTGGCTTCTTTAGCAATTTCCTTGCCGGAAAGGGGTGTGCAGATGAGGGCCATGAGCGAGACTTTCACTGACTACTAGGTTGGAGGCATTTCTTGGAGGCCATCGCTAGTAGGGAGGAGGCCATGGCTAGCCGGTTGGAGGCCATCGCTAGTCCAGACTTCCAACCACTTCGGGTGCACTCAGCTCTGTCTCCAACCTCCAGGATCGCCAGTCCTTCTGCAGTGGAAGCTCTTGGCGCTTCACTGGCCCCTCGCCTTGACCGAATCCTACAGAGCAACACGGAAAACCAAGGAAACTTCTTTCACGATCTTTCACAGTCCAAGGAGAACTGTCTTTCATGATCCAACTTCCAAGTTACATGGTAGTTTGCAGTTTGCAGTGCAGGGTGTAGGTTGCACTCCAGGGTCCAACCCTCCAAGGGCCCAGGCCCTTCTGATGAGGACGCTACAAGAGGCAATAGTAGGAACAGGACGCGATCAGGGGACTCCTGGCATCGCAAGTAGGAACAAGGACACTACTAGGGGCTCCTGGATCCTGAGCACATTGATGTTCCACCGGTCCTTTGGTACGCAGGAAGTGGGTAGGCAAGTGACCACGTGGTAGGCCATATACATGGCAGTAGCTCGGCCGGGTGTATTCAAGTAAGCAGGTGATCAGTCCGTTTTTGATGTTTGGGTGGGAGGTTTGACAGCAGTGAGCTATGCAATGCGGAGGCCAGGTGACCCAGGTGTTTGTGCTGCAGTTCATCTGTTTGGAGCGCTACTTACTGTCCTGCTCCCTTCTCCCAACATCTCCTACACACAGGGGCACTGGTTTTTCCAAGAACCGAACCAAGCGTTACAAGTGGCATCCCACCAAGCCAGCGCGGTGCCTGTAACGCGCCGCGTTGCACGCTGCCCGGCTCAGGCAGATGAGTTGGATAACAATCTCCTCGAGTGAAGAATTTGACGTTTTTTCCTCCGCAGGAGGGTCGACGGAAGTGGCGAGTGCCGGAGGGTCGACCAAAGGTCCCAGTCATGCAGGCAAATCATGCAGCTAAGCTTCCAGTCCGGAAAGTGGTGCTATTAGTTTTCGTTATTGAAGCATAATTACTGAAGACCAAGGCTGTGTCCAGGTCTTTAGACTTCTTCAATCATTTCCCGCTGAAATTGCTGATGTTTAGGAAGAACCCTGAGACATGCAAGAAATTCCGAATGTCCGAAAACTGTTCACTTGGTCAAACAAATGCAACATTTCAACAACAATCTGACACTTGGAGCAGGATTGTCAATTTGCATGGGACATTTTGTACGTGAAGCCACCTTCAATCAGCCTTGGTTCTCCGGAAATCTCTTGGTGGATCTGCTGGGGCAGCGTTACTTTTAGACACGAGTTGCGGGTCTCGACTCTCCTGTGAGATGGCACATGATGACACGAAGCACTTTCTCAGCACAAAGTGCATGAGTGTAAATGTCCAGGTGCTGGGAAGCGACCGTAGTCGAGCACAGGATCCGGAGAAGACCCAGTCAGACAGGGGAGTTTTCCGGACCCAAACACGAACTCTTTGTTTTACATGGTTTCAATAAGTAGATGGGGGTCCACATCAACCACCTAAACTTAGAGGATTGTGCCATCTAAGCCATCTATAGTAAGATATAGTAAGTGTTGAGCATGTTCAAGACCTGAGTACTTGGGCAAATCCAAGATTGAAGAGTTCCTCGTCAGGGTTGGCGGGGCTTTTGAGGCGCACCCCTGCGCCGCAAGAACTCGAGCGCGCAGCAACTCGCGCAGCATGTGCCCCGTGAAGAGCATGGCGGCAGACTCAAACATTGTCAACCTTCAGTGACTCAAAGAGGGCTGAACTCTTGACTGTACCCTGGAAGTCGAAGATCATTTTCATGGCTGATCTGCCAATGGTGCTTCGATTTCTAGGATATATAGCAGACGTGCGCTTCGGAGGGACGGACATTGTTCGCGACCCGAGCGGCTAAGCACTGGACCGTGGCGGTCGCTGGGAGGTTCCGTGCAGCGTGCAGCGGCTCACCATCAGGGAGGTTCCTGGGATCAGGATCTTTAGGTCCCGTGCCCGTGGCGTGCCCGTGTGCGTTCCTGCGTTCCGTGCTGCGCGCGGTGCCCGTGCGAACTCTTTATGCTCAGAGTCCATCCCACACCTTAGAATCCTTAGATGTTGGATAAATTAATTATGTTGCATTATACCAGGACACCCTAAGGGGTGTCTATTGATAGCCCCTTAGAGGTTGAGGGGTGTCCATTAACCAGGTCCTAGTATTGATTAATACGTGTCGTTTCCAATCCGCGTGAGTTGGGCCATACCCGCCATGATACCATGGTCTTTCAGACGCTCAAGTCGTTCTCGTTCAAACTCTCGTTCGATCAGATCTACCAGGACCCCTTACACACCACCTATATCGAACCCCTGGCCACCCCTGGCCACCCCGAACCTCCAAACCCAACCCCTTTCCGAGGATTGAGGACGTGAAGGGTGTGAGCTCCGCGGCCTGCGGATCCAATCATTCAGCCTTCGTCCGCCAGGGCCGCCCCTCGATCGCGTTCGCGTCGTGGTGTCGGTGGAGGTGAGGCGTTCCGCGTACGGGCAACGCGCGAGTGCAGGAGTGCAGGAGCACCTGAGATCCCTTGTGTGCCTCAGGTGTTTGTTTTGGTTCCTAAGTAGTACTTGCCCGAACTTAAGAATCCGGGCCCTCAAAAACTCATGTGTTTGGGATGATTTGAGGTCTGGATCCCTGCGTGACCTCGCGTCGACGCCATGGAGGGCCACGAACTTGATCGGCTTGAGGTCATTACAAGGCCTGAAAAGGTCACTCAAAAAGGGACTCCCAAAAGGTCACGAACTGAAGAAGCTGGGAAGTTAGTGATCGATGCTTTTGATGGGAACGTCATTTGGACAATGCAAATGATGGAACTTTGGTGAACAGTTTGGTGGACATTCCACGAGCGATCAGTTGAGCTGGGCGGAAGATCGTATTCATCATGAATTGTCCTAGACTGTAGAGAGAGAGAGAGAGAGAGGGACCATGGAGCTATTTCATTCACCTGGGCCTCCTAAATCGGAGAATGTTCTGTCAAAATGTCCACTGGTTTTGGATGGCTTTGGTGGTCTTACGTAAGGTTTTGTCATTTTATACATCATGATCTTGCTCTAGACACTGCAGGTTCGATTCGGTTTGGCCAAGTGCCCAGGTGTCTACACCTATGGCTCCAATAAGAGCAACCAGCTGGGTCGCGATGATGACCCCAATGCTCCCGGCCACTGGGAGCAAAGAAAGACCTGGAGTGGAAAAAGGCATGTTGCGGAGCACACCCAATAAGGGTGACAGAGTTGGTTTGATCATGTTTGATCGTCCGGCACGGGTGAAAGACCCTTTTGTGGAATATGTTTCTTATGGTTTCAGAGGTTCGATGGCACTGGCTTCTTGAGATGTCCTAGACTCCTAGACAGGTGCGAGTCAGTTGTACCACCTACTCTCAATCCACCCGCTTAAGGGCCCTAAGGGTCCAGGACGATCCGAATCGGACGTCCTAAAGGAAGTACGAAGACTAAGTGCAAGTGGACCTATGAAAACATCATGTTGTTCCCCAAGACTGGGTGGTGGGTCCTTAAGCATCCACCCCTTTAACCCTTCAGAGCAGCATCCGTTCCTTTAAAAACTTCAGAGCAGAATCTGCGGCCAACCGGCTGACGCTTGCAACGCGGATCGGATCGCCTGCCTTGCAGGGTAGCCAGGTGGAGCCAGGTATCATCTGAGCCCGTTGACAGCGCTTTGTTTGCCCACCGGGTGGGTCTTTTTAGACCCCTGAACTCTCGCCCCAGTCGGGCCCGAGGAATAGACTGGTGTATTTGCCCAATTTGAGAGGTCCTATTTGACCCAGTGGATCGTAGGCAGCGACTATTCCCTACGCCTCCAACCACCTCCTGAGAAGATGGTTGGGGTGGGTGCCAGGGGGTCTAACCACCTTCTGAGGAGATGATTGGAGCCCTAGGGATTGAAGGAAACCAGGGATTCTAATCAGGCCTGTGATTAGTTTTAGTCGAACTGGAACCACTGGGACTCCCAGTGACATCGTGGGAGCTGCCTGGATGCCTTGGGTGAGCTTCACACCCGCTCTGTCCCGAGAACCTGAGGATTAGTGGAGGGCCTCGAGAATGTTCGCCAGGTGCTCTCGGCATCGTCCGGTCGATGCATCTTTGGAACTAACATGGTTACACTCTGACGAACACATCACATGGAAGTGAATGGCCTGGCCCCGAAAGGAAGAGAACACTATCCACAAGCAAGGCCCCGGGCTCTCAGCCTTCCATGTGTACGTATACGTGTACATGGAGAACGCCGCGTTCTCCCCAAGTTCGGAGTGGACCCTGTTTCCGAAGACCCAACCGGGTTGCGACTGAAGACCATGCCATTGATGTAGGCTTGACTGAAGAACCATGGTTTGACCAAGGATTTTACACCTTCACTTCACGGATCTTCACGGGGTCTTCACGGTCAACCGGTCGACCAGAAGTCAGATGTGGTTCGTTGTGGTTCGTACTCGATGACTGGACCCATCCGTGGTCGGGGGATCGAGCTTCCCGGACGAAAACACCCAGTCCAGCGAACCAAATTGGATGGTGCTGAGCTGCTGAGGCCCTGGTAGGTGCATGGTGTGGCACATCAGATGCACGATTGGATTCTGATCCCATGCACTGAATCTATCACTGTCGGATCTCTTGGGATGTAACGTCGATCAGTAAACAAACATCGACCTTGGCCAGTCGAACAATGCACCCAAGTGCACATGATGCGGTTGGCGTTGGTGTTGAGAAGGGGATCGCGCTGGTGAAGCTGGTGGTCTAACACCGTTTTCAACTGGTTTGTGGTAGGGGATCTGATTGGGTGGACCCGCGATGCTCCTTGGAAGCTGCCCCAAGATGTTCAAGACTCAGACTGCTCGACTGCGCGTTCTTTGGTAGACATTCAGAATAAGATTGGTCACCCTCCTTTGGATTTAGTCAGGCCCAAGCAACAACTCGATCAGATCCCACCAGAGGACCTTCACCCTAGCTAGGATTCCTAGCCCACCATTGATCCACTGGGTCTTACCAAACAACATCAAACAAGCATTGTTTCTATAAAGGGTTCTGGACTACAACGCCAAGTCAACTGTACAGAACCAATTTGTTTTTATAATTTTGTACGTCTTTGTTGGGAAGGCTGGCGCTTTCCATGTTCAGACTGCGAACGGTGGGAGCATCGAACGAAGACCAAGACTTTTCACGGTGGCGTCAGGTCGCCTTGGGCGCTTTCCATTCGGCCTGCGTGGCTTGGAGATGAGGGAGAGGCTGAGGGGGGCGTGGCGTTTGGGTGGATTGTGGGACCAGCAGTTCCAAAGGGTGTTGAGGAAAAAGAACACATCGTTCTGTGAGTGGATACCCTCCAACAAGCAGCCCGGTTTGGAATGGATATGTTCTGAATGATGTATCTTTGTCATGGCAGCTCGGAGATGATCAGGGGGCGTCCACGAGCGAAGGAAAAGTCTTGAACAATCTCATCCATGAATGCATACCTCCCAGGCAAGTGAATTAACCAGTAGAAACAGAATAACAGAAGCCCTTCACATCAGCACATGGCCATACATCGGTGGCCTTCAGTTTCACAAGTCCCCTATGAACAAGTGAAAGATTATGACCTCATGCCATCCCCACAATACCCCCACTGTCTCCGTCTCCCCCAGCGCAGATCACACGGATCTTCAGTCGCCCAGGTTCTGGAAGATGGCTCTCTCTATACCTGGGGTTGGGGCGGCGGCTTCTTCCATGGCGTGGGTGCATTGGGTTTGGGCGATCAGGACACACGGACGTCGCCCAGCTGCGTGGAGCTCTTTCGAAAGCCGCTGGGCGCCGGTTCTGCGAGCGTAGACGGGCGTGGAAGCGGAAGTTCGGAAAGGGAGGTATAAGGTGTATAGTACAGGTGGTGGATGGGAGCAGAATGATGGTGATGATTGGGGGAATGATGGGGAATATATTGATCTTGAGCATGTGCTTGCTCCAGTCAGTGCTGGTCATGCTGTCTTCTTATTGGTTCAGTCACTGTTGTGCGCGCAAGTTCGTGAGGATTGTTGAATCAAATCCAGGTCATTTGGGAGATGATGATTGAAATTGCTCGCATTGGCTGAGGGCTAAACTGAAACATATGATATCAGGCTGATTTGTCTCAAAGCTAATTCATATATTTTGCCCTGCCTAGTATTGGCCACATTGAGGTTGTTGTGAGGATTTTTGAGGGGTCTTTCACTTGTGGCCAGTTTGTTTATCTTTCGTTTCACTTTAAGAAAGCTACAGTAGAAGCATGAACATAAAAGAACATATAAGAAAATGAAGCCTGACTCACACCTAAAACATCCTTGAGTCTCCAACCATGTTCAATACCCCTACTACTGGTTTCATGTGGTTTTGTGCTGGGGCCCCCCAGTGCTGGGTACCCCAAATCGTAAAAACATAGGTGTTTAATACGAAAACTGCTAAGTGCTTAATAAGAAGTCAGCCTTTCCGACATAAAGTTACTAATATGTGCATAATGAGCGTTTACTCACTTAGATGTTTTTCACATCAAAGCCCTTATCATTGTATAAAAATAAGCGTTTACCTGCCCACAGTCACCCAATCACATTTTTTCCAATTAAACCGCGTATTGTTTGCAAAAAAGAATGACAACCAGGTTGGCAAGCCTATTAGGCACATATTAGCAATTTGGCTCTGAAAGGGCAAAAGCCTTCATCTTTCAGAAGGTCCAGGGGCTTATTAGGCACACAATAATGAACGCGCAAAGTTCCATCTTTCCAAAGGGCTAAGGGCTAAGGGCTAGCCATTTTACAAATCTAAATCCCCCCTCAATTAGAGGTAGATCAGGGTTGCCACAAATCAACATTGTTGTTGTCCTTTAATAGGCACATTGTTGATCCACAATGGGTACCTACTAGACGCATATGAGTTATTCAGTTACGCAGATTAAGTGTGTCCATTTTGGGGTACCCAGCACTGGGGGCCCCAGAGCAAAGCCACATGATGGTTTTCACCTCCAAAGGACGTGGGTTCTCACCTCCAAACCCACAGCGATCAGACTGCGCCCAGGGAAGGGATGAAGATCAAGATGGTGACCTGTGGTGTGCCAAGACGGCACCGCATCGCGTCGGTGCGTGACCGTGTCGGCGACGCGGTGCTTGGGGTCACAGCGTGTCGTGTCGGGAGCACTACTGTGGGGGGTTGTGGGGGGGCACATGATCGCATCACTTCTTTTCGGAACACCTGGAGGTTGAGGATTTGCAGGAGAACCTGAAGGTACTCTTGAAGGTATCTTCCAGAGCGCAAGCGAGGCTTGAGGGAGGAGAAGCGTTTGTTGGACACCCTCTCTTTGAAACCAGCATGCGTTGGAGTTGGAGTCTGTTTTGTGCTCGCTAACTTGTAATGCCAGGACTAAAGGTAATACCGAAGACCAGCCCCTGTCTTGAATTTGACCTCGTTCTTCTCATGGACTCAACATGGATCTTCAGATCAACTGCAACGAACCGCCACAACAAGGGGAACTCACAAACCGAAGGTGTTCAGCCTGACAACCCCCCAAAACATGACTCTACCAAATTGGTCCAAGCTGACTTAATGTAGACTCTTGATTAATTAATATGAAGAGGATTTTACATATTCAAATCGGGGAGGTCATGCACCTCAAGAGTCTACACCCCAATCCGGCTGACTCAGCCTGAGGCGCAGCACACGGTGGTCTTGACAGAGGACGGCCACCTCTATGCCACTGGAAAAGGGGACTTCGGTCGCCTTGGGCGGGGCGATACCAGCGACGAGGCGCTTCGCTTTCAACCGAGCTTCGTTGGGGAAGACCCGACGACACGACGACCGGACTGCCGTATATACGGCCAGGGGTGGTTGAAGTCGGGGTCAATGGATTGGCACATATGGCATGGAGTGTCTGGGAAAGGTGGAGAGGAGTGTTTTCAGGTGGAGCAGTTCTCGGAAATGAGGGGATGAAGGCCAGTCAGTGTGGGGTATAGCACTTCACGCTGATCGGGCGGTCTGGAATGGGACTGGGAGACCGTTTCGGCAGCGAGTGATTCGTTTGGGGCAAGGAATTCCTGCCAGGCAGTTTGGGGAAGGAGCCTTCCAAAACAAGAGATGAGCACTTGATGCGTGGAAGCCAAAGATTTTCCATATCCAATGTCACGATTTCTTCCTGCGGCCTCCACACGAAGAGGTGGACTTCCACGTCATCGACTATTTCGATCACACGGATGACTCCATCCTGAAACCAGGCGCACGAAACGAAAGCCCGCCCGAAACAAAAGCCCGTTAGTGCCCGTGGTTCCGGCGGTGGTTCCACTTCCCCATACTTCACCCAGTGATGAAGGATGTATTTGTCCGGTGTTTCTGCAATCTGTGGATTCCATCGTATGAAAGTGATTGATTGAATTGTTGACAGAGTTTGGTCTGGCGCCTTTTGTCTCACCAACTGCCACCCCAGAAAGCACACCTCCGTCCTCCAACTAGCCTGCAACGTCCTGCAACGAGCCTTTGAAACATGCAGTTGCTATACTTTGGGTTTGAACCATGTTGGTCCTATAATTATATACCCGTAACAGTCAGTAAACAAGAACATCACTATCGAACCATCATCATCCACTGTTACAGGCAATTAGGATAGACCCAAGCCATACTCACAGGCCGTTTGGGATGATGATGACTTTCAAATACTGAGACCTTGAAGAACATCCTGTGGATACGCAAGAGCTGACAAAGGGTACGCCGAAAGTAGTTGTTCCTTCCCGCGCCTCCTTATATGGAAGACAAGCTTTCCTCCGCACCAACAGAATTGAGAGATTCTTCAGGTTCTGAGTATCTTCAATCCTCCAACCGTTCTGTGTCGTACCGCCCTCCATTCGTTCCGAATGTCAGCCCAGTCGGTCCCACAGTCCAATTCCGTTGACCACACCGGCCATTCTGGGCGAACTCAACTCCCCCACTTCACTCATCCACCCCTCGTGCTCCTTCTTCCTCTCCGTCTTCCCAGGTGAACCGGCGCGGATCTGCAAGATCGGCGCCGGCGAGAACTTCACTGCGGCCATGTCCGAACAGGGGGAACTCTGGGCCGCTCGGAGTCCGAAGAAAAGCACGAAAGCTATCGCCTCAGCTGGCTGCAGTCGCCCTTGCTTCGTCACCCCCCCCCTGGCCTCAAGTGGATGAATATGGATGAATTGAGAGTAGAAGATGGCACAGACCCCAAGGTCGGTGCAATTACGGACCCCAAATTGTCGACAGGACATCATGGGGTGCCAAATCCCTGGTTCACCGTAGCAACGTACGATGGGGAGCGCAGTGTAAACCGGACAGATGGGGAGGACGGAGTGGAGGAGGGAGGGAGGATGAGGGAGGGGGGTTCTGAAGGCAGTTTTGCTTTGGGCCTCCACCTTCATTTCATGGACAGGGTCTAGTGGGTTTCACCACACTGCGTGTGCTATTTGTTGTTCAGGGGGAACATGCCATTGACTTTTCGAGGAAGGGGTTTTGGTTTCTAGAAGCAACTGACACCTGCAGAGGGCGTTTTCGATGGGCATGCAAGGACCTGTTCTGTGCAACAAACCTGTGAAACAAAAAACAAATCAAAAGCCCAAGGAAGGTGCATTGCGCTGCCCACCCCAGCAGTTTCCTCATGTTCAATTATGTTCAATCTTTCAACTCACGGACCAAGAATGACGAGTCAGTCCATTCGACGTCACTGACCGTCACTCGGATGACTCACGGGGCAGAGGTCTGGGGCCGAAATGACTACGGCCAGCTGGGACTTGGAGAAGAGGCGAGCTGAAGATGAAGAGTTCGGAGTTGTCAAGCTTCAAATGCCTCCATTCTTTTTCTGAGAGAGTGGTTTGAGAGGGTATGAGAGGGTATACGATTTCACGATCATCCGACTGGAAGAGGTTGGAGTTCATTTTCTACTTGAAGTATATACCCTAGGCTTCCAACCACCATGAATTTGATAGGCTTTACTGAACAACCATTGTTTCACGATGTTTCACGGAATTTACACTACAACAACAGGTCAACCTTTCTTTAACAGGTTTTGGCAGGGTTTAACTATTCCAGTCCCAATGGATGCTCCACCCAGGGAGAACCCGGTCGTCCCACACGGTCCCCTTCGTCCACCACCACGCCTGGCAGCCTGAAAGCCTCGGGCGTCCGCACCCGCCAGGCGATGGGAGACATGTACTCTGCTGAGCGCTTCCCACGCATGGTGCGGTCACTGCCGCAGGAAGGCGTGGAAGTGGTGGACTTTGCCTGCGGCGAGCACCACGTGCCTGGCCCTGGGTGGGTGATTTTTTGTTGTTTAAACTTTAAAAGCTTTTGGGATGCTTTTGAGCAGAAGGACTGAAGGTGGTGGGAAGAGTAGCGCGACTGCTGTGTGAAGGAGCTTGGGACTAAATAAGATGGAATGGTTTGGATGTTCTTCACTTGTGAGAGGTGGGCGGGGCAAGCCAAGACTAGTGGCAGTGGGCTGGGCGTGAGACTCTGCATTGGTTCTAACATGTTCTACAACATGATGTTTTTTGGGGGGGAGTCTTTGCAACATCCAGTGGATCCAGTTAACCACTAGTTCGCCGACAAGCAGTGGTTCCTTTCTTCGTTTTGGGCGGCGTGGCTGGGCTCACGGACAGCTGCACGGCCTGGCGCCTGGCATGGGAGGACCGTCCGTTTTTTCGCATCCTCGGTCTTTCGCATGACGCAGGTTTTTCCCGACGACTAGCGACATCCGAAGATCTTGGTGGTTTGAAGAACTAAATGCACCCCAAACGCTCCATGGGACTGCCATCTATGCCTACATTGGCCCCCCTGGCACCACCCCAACTGATCGGCAGTCCTATGGCAGTCCCATGGAGCGTCTGGGCACGTCACCATGCTCCCCAGGGCTCCAAGTAACCTCTGAGAAGGTCTTCCAGCCTTCGGAGGTACGACTGGAGGTGACCAGGGAGTGTTAATTCTTCGAAGGCTTTGTTGAAGACACATGAGCGGACGTGAAGTTTTTGTATCTCCTAGTAGCTACCCTTGTGCAATGACCCTCAAGAAGTCATGATATGCACATACTACTCCTCCCATCCCGTTTTGCCCCCGAAAAGACTTGTTTTGTTTCCCCACCGGTTGCCGAGGTGATCGCCCTCTCGGCAGAGGGCCACTTGTACGAATGGGGCGACCGAAGTTGGCTGGAGCCGCATCGTGTCCTGCCGCCGCAAGTCGAAGATGAGGCGACCGTCGACCGACGAGGGCGACCGACCGACCGACGTTTCGGGGGAGGTTTTCTCTTGCAGCTGCCGGGAGTGATTCCCAACGTGTGTGTGTGTGTGTGTGACGTGTGGGGGGTTGTGATTTGTGTGTTTGTTCTCCAACGTTTAATTGGAGGGGGAAGAACTGACCATCCAAATAGCTTGTGATGATGAGGCCTGCCCAGCACAGGAATTGTTTGTGGTGGTTGTGGTTGTGGTTGTTCCCTTGGAATCATGAGACCCCTGAGTATCAGGCATTTTGTCGGTGCATGCCAATGCCGTTTTCAAAGGTACAAGCATGGGAGACTCAAG